AAACTCATGCTTACTTTCAATGCTTCTGCTTTCTCGCCGGTCTTCTATAATTTAACACCTTGCTTAAAGTGCCGCTACATGTCCAAAAGGGTCACAAAGTTCACTGGTTCACCTGAAAAATTACTCAACTGAACTTGAAAGAAAAAGCTGGTTAGTAAATTCGGACACTCATAAAAAAAGATTATGTTTCAAAAGTCGTAGGAACAACATAAAACAGTAACAATTATTGGTTTAGAAGCAATGATGAAAGTAGTAACTAGCAATTTAGTAGCTGCTCTAAGTGATTCATTAAAGAGAACAGGCTCAGTACCAGTTCATTAGAAGAAGAATCAATCATTTGAGAATCTGACTACACTGGTCTCACTGTTTCTGATTCACTAAAATAAATGTCTGATTCACTAAAGTCCTAAGAGTCATTTGTTTGAGAATTGGACTACATTGGTTGCACTATGCTTTTGATTCATTAAAAAGAACTGGCACATGCATGGCCACTTCATTGGTGGAACAATCTTTCTTTCAGGAATCCAATTACACTGGTTGCATTGTACTGTATGTTTCTGATTTACTCAAAAGAATCAGCTCATGAGATTCATTTATTCGAGAATCAGACTACACTGGTTGTGCTGTACAGTGTGTATTAGATTGGCTCAAAAGAACAGATTCAGAATCATTCACTCTACACCGGCTGTGCTGCTTCACTAAAATGAATTATAAGCCATTTGCACTACACCAGTCACACTGTATAGTTTTGATTCATTTAAATGAACCGGTTCATAGGAATCAATTCTTTGGGAATCTGATTTTTTTTTAAAAATCAGCTCATGAGAGCCATTCATTGTTCTCATTGTTCTCATAAATGGTAAGCAACCTATTCCAATAATCTTTGTTTCACAAATAAACAATAAACTATGTCACACAATGTTAGAAGATGCTGAATGCTCTGAACATCAGCTGTGCAAAGCCAAATCATTAATGAACAACAACACAACAAAACAAAACAAAAATAAATAAATCATTTGCTCCATCTAATCTGTAAATGTACAGGCTGCTGTAAATGTGCACACAGATGTGGACAGGTAATCATGTTTACAAGAATAAGCTCTATTTTGTGTTCTTTTTCAGTCTCAGGCCATTTCCTGCCATGTGATGAATTTGAGTGAAAATCCGCACTATGTGATTTTATTAATGAGCCTAACCATAGGGTAACCATGGTAATAAAGTCCAAACAGGAGACATATAAACAATAGAGACTATTCCTGTGAAATGAGAGAAAGATAATAAGGAAGTAATGTGCGCTATTAGTGTGTACGTTTGTGATGGAGGCGATATGAAAGGGGAAAGGTGGCCACAAATTGTGTTTTGCAAATGAGAGCTCAAAGATCGAACTGTCTGAGGTTATAATTTCACAAACTTCAAAATACTGTTAAAGTAATGAGCCATAACATTTTGCATCATTCGCATCTACATCCCCTTAACGGTGGCAAAATAATAATAATAATAATAATAATAATAGTAGTAACACATAGCCTTCCAGAGCTTCTTGCTTTTACAAAACAGCAGCAAGAGCAGAATAATAAAAGACACCAAATGTTCAATAATTAATTACAATTATTAGTAATGATAATAGATTTTTATTATTAATCTTGTGCATTACATGAATGACACTACAAATAATGTAATAAAAATAATGATTGAAAAATTAATGAATTATTTCTTTCACCAAGTAATATTGTTCATTAGACAACTTGAAGACTGTTCACAGTTCACATCACTGAGCTACAATAGAGAACTGGATTGCTCATGATGTCATAAAAGTTTGAAACCGCCACGCCACCACATCGGTATTCTCTAGTATTCCCTTACATTCTATTGAATTAACAAGAAATAGATTGATTTTAATGAGAAAACATCACCTAACGAGTCAGTGTTTTTATATCTGAAGTTTCCTGTACATTCTTACAACACAAGCATGTAAACAGTTATTTGCTTAATGCCGGGAATTTCCTCTGCATATTAAAAAGTTACGTATCATATTCATTATACTGTACAGTAGCGAACATCAGATGAACATGACGAACATCAGACAGATGAGATCCTCAACATGTGTATTACAAAGGACAAAGTGCTCATTTGTGTTGGATCAGTTACTTGTGTTGGCAAGTGCGCAGCAGACACACCCATATTAACGATTTCCATATATGGCTTATCCTGCCATAAACATTTCAGATAACATCTGAAGTAACAATGAATTTACATACATATATCTTAAAAACTAATCTTGTGACTGAGGCACTTCAAATCGGGTGATTTTAGGTCAAGGTTTTAGCTGTTAGTCAATTATGCCCTCTGCAGATAGGGAATAATAATATGGCCGCTTGAACACTTTCGGTGGCTTCACCGCCTAGTTTTAATTTTTTTAAATGAAGAGTTACAGAAATGACTATATTCTTGATTACATTCAACAAACAGGTAATATTCTAGTACTTGAAATGTCCTCCATAACTTTAAGTATACTGCTCTGACCTTTCATTGCATTTGAGTGTACAAGTTCATGGCAAAAAATTGTCACATCTATTCTGTTTAACTCCCGGAGGATGACCTCCTTGAATGCCCTGATTTTTAGGCGAGTGTCTCTACAAAATCCCCCATAGGTGCTCAAAAGTGATAAGGTTGGGTGAAACACTTATACACTGAAGGATTTTCACCTTGGGAGAATGTACTGCATATAGTCACTGTTATGTTGAAAACTCAACAATGCAGGGAATGAGGAGAGGGTAGCATCTTCTGTTTCAAGTTTTTCTATTACATCACACAATGGTGTGTGAATTCATGACACCATTGATAAAGCACAACTCCCCCCACATCTTCAGCAATCATACATCCCTATATAAAATCTTCATGACCACCAAACTTCCCCTAGCAAGGCCATACCATTTTAGATGCTGATAGATCCAAAATGATTGACTTGGTCACATGAGACCAGAGTATGGATTCCTCTATATTCTATATTTTGTAAATATTTAATATTTTTATAAATATGGGCCTTAGGAAAAGCTAAATGAGTTTATTATGCTTTGACTACAGAAGGTATCTCCATTGTGGACAACAGTGAGATGAAACAGCCATTAGTTTCATTGCTTTCGCCAGCTCTGAGACACTTGCTTGGTAATTCTCCTGCTCTTTTCCAAAAAAAAATAAAAAATCTTAAAATAAAAACTTAAAGTGAATGCCTGATTATTTCAGGGGCCTTGACACAAGTCCATTGTTTTTGAAATTCTGTTAATTTGGCCATATTTTCACATGTAAAACCATGATTAGTTATTCCTCTCGTACCACTGTCCTCTTTTGTGCAAAGCAATACATTTCCTGACAGTTCTCTCCCAAGTGGTTCCATTGTTGTTCCATTATGTCTGAGAATGATTCAGTGGCTTTAGAATGCCTACCTGCAGATCAAAAATTGCCTTAAACTTACACCAGAAAATTGCATTTAATTTAGTAAATTTCAGGATTTTTGCAACACAGTATTTTATCACTTTGATAAGAAAATCTTGTTTTCCTGAATCATTTTGACATGCTTCTTTGGTAATTAATCAAGCATACTTGCTGGAATATTATATTTTCAAAGAACCCTAATATGTCTTCTAATTAAAGAGTAACTGCTGAATTTAAGTTTCAGAGTGTGTGTACAAAATCTATTTTAATAGGACAACAGATATGATAGAAATCTATATAGCACAAATAAATATTCTAACTAATCATTATCTTTTATTGTGCAAAACTATCGAAGTATGAAAGGCTTCCAATATGGAATTGCACAAACATGTTTATGTGCAGAATGATTTAAAGCTTTCAAGCAAAATCTCTACACTCTAATTAATGAGATATCAAGATATTATATCTGGGGAAGTTTATTCAGAATCACAAATAAACTTCAATAAAATACAGTCCTTTCACACAAAAGGACATACATTTATGTTCAGATTATACATAATAATGGGAAACCTGGAACATCTTGGGAAGACCCCCAAGTACACCGTCATAACCGAAATCAACATGCTGTTTGAATGCTGAATGGAGAATGATGTGACAACTGCAGTGGAGGGAAGCGTTTCCAGCAACATAAATTTGACACCTCAAATAAAGCTATAGAAATGTTAAGTGATAGTGTTAAAAAGGAAAATAGCAGAATCAATAATGGAAATACAACTAGGGGTGCTCTGATTGATCGGTTACCAATCGCGATCGGCCGATAATCGCTTCGGGAAGTTTGATCGGCGGTGTCTATAAAAGCCAATCTCATAAACCGATCTCAAGCTGACGACGCACCTACTGTGAGAGGTTTGGCATGACATGCAGCAGCAACATCTCAATCTCTGTACGATGCGGGTAAAATAATTATAAAGCTGAAGGTGAGGTACAATTCATATTTCTTTATTAAATAACAAGCTACATGCTGCACAGTTAACACCGGAATTGTCACTTGCACAATAAAAGCAGTGTCGCATCATCACTAAACTGCATTTCTTTTTAAGTCTTGCCAGTTTTTAAGCCATTCAGCACTCGTGCGCTCTCCTAGAGACGGTGCGCTCATGCACACTCAAAGCTCACGCACATAAGGCCGCCTTACATACAGCTCACAAAATCAGGCTTGTGTAAGCTATTGGGCAGCAATTGCCCCATTGTAAAAACAAAAATGCACTGCATGATCAAACATTTAGGTGAGATAATTATATATTTATGAAAAATTAACCCTCCTGTTAGGAAACAGGAAAAATAGTGTCAAGAATGCAAACAAAATTAAATTCTGCCGTAAAGCAGCTCTAAAAAGAGGATAATAGTAAACAGTAAATTTTTCAGTTAAAGTCAGTTCATCGTTGATTCAGGGATGTCAATGATGCCAAAAATTAAGTGCATCCTTAAGTGCATCCCTAACATTCCTTTCTATTCAAGAAAAGCTGATCCTTACCTAAATCCTAAGTGGTTTTCACATCTGTTCTCACCTGCTCTGTGGTGTGCTGCTGGACACAGCTGTAGATGTGACTAAGCCCAGCTCTAGTCAGCACGAAAGATGCCTGCTCATTGATTAGAGTGTCCAAGTGAGCCTCAATCTAAAGTAATTGGCCAATAAAAACAAATACAAAATGTATCACATTTTAACTCAGTTTGACTCATCACAATTTTAACAACTAAATTATCTTATAATTTGTCATTTTATAATGTAACACACCTGAAACTCCAACATTTCTAAGCGTTTGTCTGTGAACTCAAAGAGCGCCAGTGTGGTCTTCATCATGTATAGGGAGTTCACCATGTAGGTGGCCATATCTGCTGTACCCAGGTTACTGGCTGATACCGTGCACAGCTGCAGCAACGGGTCAAGGATGCAGGACAATACCTGAGAAACAGCATTGATGATGATGGGATTTTAAAAAAAGGACACAACTAAACAAAACAAAACAAAACAAAACTGCTGCATAAGTAAAGTACTCCATGCCTATCTGGATATTGCACATGCATAAACATAAATACAAATATATTACGACAACGATGATTATGATTCATTTCTTGCATGAAACACAAAAAAAGTGCATTTAACATCCATTTAAGAAATGTAGAATAAATAAATATAAAATAATAAATATAATAAAAACAAAAGAAAACAAAAACAGTGAGTATTTCTTCTTGACACTTTCAAAAAATTTCAGCCACATTTCAGTCACTAAGAGGTGGAAATTAACTGGATTTTGCCACAAAACATAAAAAGAAAAGTCACCTGTGCAAAGTCAGCCTGACGGGCATCAAGAGGCAGAACTGATGAATCATGGGAGGCCAAAACCTCTCTAAGGAGAGACAGAGTCTGAGTGAGGGAGGCAGTGGGACCCAGATCAGGAGGTGGAAGCTCTACCTGAGAAAACAAGAACTTTTAACAATCTTTAACAAAAAAAACAAGTTATATATATTGTGCATAAATTTCACAGGAAAACTTTTTTAAAAAATGTTCATTGTGAGATGTACTAATATCACTGTGTATAAAGTGCATTTTTAATGTTCTTTTTTTTTTTATATACATTCAGACACAAAAAAGAGCATTATGTCATTGACTCTCTGACAAAACATTTTTAGCTCCGTACATTCAGACTTTTAAGAGCAGTATTTACTGTTCTAACTCATGTTCAAGACCCTCAAAATCAAACCAGGCGTGTCTGACAGCAAGACTGACACCTCTGAAGCCTGGCTAATAAACACCCTGCTAGGCGAACACTACCTAGAGCTCTGCTGCCTCTAATATAGCTTATTAGCTCAGGCTTGTGTTCCTGGCACTGAGCAACGTCAGGGAGCGATACGTAACGTCCTAAGCCTGAGGTGGCAGTGGGACCCAGATCAGGAGGTGGAAGCTCTACCTGAGAAAACAAGAACTTTTAACAATCTTTAACAAAAAAAACAAGTTATATATATTGTGAATAAATTTCACAGGAAAACTTTTTTTAAAAATGTTCATTGTGAGATGTACTAATATCACTGTGTATAAAGTGCATTTTTAATGTTCTTTTTTTTTATATATACATTCAGACACAAAAAAGAGCATTATGTCATTGACTCTCTGACAAAACATTTTTAGCTCCGTACATTCAGACTTTTAAGAGCAGTATTTACTGTTCTAACTCATGTTCAAGACCCTCAAAATCAAACCAGGCGTGTCTGACAGCAAGACTGACACCTCTGAAGCCTGGCTAATAAACACCCTGCTAGGCGAACACTACCTAGAGCTCTGCTGCCTCTAATATAGCTTATTAGCTCAGGCTTGTGTTCCTGGCACTGAGCAACGTCAGGGTGATTCGTCAAGCCTGAGGTGATTTGATTAGTGTGCTGCTAAGGCGATAATTCTCTCAGAAGTGTAGAGCGGAGGCCATCTTGTTCTGGCTATTGATCCACTTATCAATGAAGTGCTGTTTTTGTGTGTGTGTGTGTGTGTGTGTTTAAGGATATTTTGGGGATAATTTAGAATGCCTGGTGCGAGAATGCGTTTTTTCAGCCTGGTGAAAACCAAATCCAACTCATGAATGACCATGAGGCACATCACTATATAGGTATAGGGATGGGATGCTGTCTTAGAGCGCCCCAATGCTAAGGTGTTCTGGGTTGTTTTTAGGCAGTTTCTAAAGTGTTATCATTGGCTGGTAAGGCAGTTTACAGGTTTACTGGCATAAAAAAAAAAAAATCAGAATTTATACACCTTTTCAGATTTGTGGCAACATTAAAACAAAAGGAGAGATTTGATCAAACTTGGGATGAGTTATTTAAGTATGGTTTAAATACTATAAATATTATTATATTATAAATATTATGAATAATGTTTTTATATTTTCAGAATATTTTTATATTTTCCGTTTTCCTTTCAATTTTAGTTCAAGTTTTAGTAATTTTGTTATGTGCTTTTGTATCAGTTTTTGTTTTTTGTAATTATTTCTATATGGGTTTAATTTATTTTTATTTTGAGTGATTTTAGTACTTGAAATTATTTCAGTTAGTTGCCAAGGCGACCTTTCTAATTTGTATCATTTTTTTTTTTTTAAGTTTTAAGTTTTTCATCTAATATTTACATTTAATTTTATATCATATTTATTTCAATTACCCAAAAGTTCTAGTTTTATTTAACAATAACAACACTGATAATTACTTACTTTATCCATAAGGCGACTGGCATGGAGACTAAGACTGTTGAAGAACATCTTCTTACTGAGCATGTGCATCTCATCAATGGTCATCAACAGAGAGGAAACGCTGGTACCCATGATGCCACTAAGAGGGAGACTTATGCATTCAGAATAACTGGAGCATCTTGCAATATTAAAGGCTATACCTAAAAAATGGATCTATATTTTTGGATCTCTGCTCTTCAGTAAAAGAAGGATTTGTCTTCCATCAACTGTGGTATGAAATTAAGACAATAAACCCAATAAAGCCATTTACAGAGATGTGTGTACCTGATGGTGTGATGGTAGAACTTGAGAAGGTTGGAGAGTTTATACAGAAGAACAGCACCTGGCTCTGCAATGATCACCTGCTCAATTCGCACCTAGTGGAGGAATAAAACAAAACAATAAAGAAAGAAAAAAAATCAACAATTCTGTTGTCATTATTCACTGTCGCTTAAGTCAGTAAAAAGTTTGTAGTAACACTTTACAATAAGGTCTCATTTGTTAACATCAGTAATGCATTAACTAACAAGAACTAACAATGAACAATATATTTTTACAGCATTTATTAATCTTTTTTAATGTTAGTTAATAAAAATGTTCATGTTCACGTTAATTCATAGTATGTACATTAACTGATGTTAACAGATACAACTTTAGTAATTTTAATATGTATTAGTAAGTTTTGAAATTAATATGAACTAACATTAATAAATGCTATATAATTACTGTTCATGTTAACTAAAATAGTTAATTAATGTTAACAAATGAAACCTTATTGTAAAGCGCTACCGAGTTTGTTAAAATATTAATCATTCAAATATGATACTACATAGTCCCAAGGAAAGCACAAATGTTGATTCATGAAAAAAGATCATCAAGGAATTTATGGGATTGAGAAGAGTTTATGGGACTTGAACTTGGGCCGCCCATTTGAGCACTATTGAGCACAACTATTAACCAACTAGGCCACAGCTCCAGCCCAGGCTGATATTTTTGATAAAAGTTTAAATATCAGTCTTAATGACACTGTTTCCATCTCACCTTGAGTGGTCTGCACACTCCTTCAGTGATGTGGCCAACTACTTCCTGCATGTTTTCTTCAACCCCTGCACAAACACAGCAGAATGATTTATCTACAACTCAACTACGTTCAGAGAAACAAGTAAAACCCCAACAACATGAGTTTAACCAGTTTTAAAATGTGTACGGTCATAAGGTGTGGTTAACATTAGTAAAATTTCAGCTAATAAAATGTCCACTGTCCATTGTCAATAGTGTAGATCACTTTCAAAACCAAAGCAACTTTATGATGGTTAGTCAGGGAATCTGCAAGATGAACTTGAACAATAGCAGAAACTGCATAGCAAACCTGTCGGCCTCATGTGAAACTCCCAACAATTTTACAATTACTACAATTACTATCGCTTAGCAAAATTTTACATTCAAAATCAAGCCGTTTCAATAAGTATCCAAACAATCAGGAATTTTGTGTGAGGATGAAGGATTTCCTTACCCATATTTTACAAAGGGTTCAAGTTTGTCATGCAAATTCTGACATACAGAAATCTGTTTGGTTGGAAAGTGACTTCTGTGAGTTGAGCTTCATTCATTGCATTCATTTTTTGCAGTGCAGCTTTGCTATTGTGATCACACCTAAACAGTGGACCTCCTTGAGGCAAGACATCAGCAACTCTACAATGGGTGAATGCATCCCACTTGGTTTTCAACAGAAATGAGGTAAAAACTGACTTTGGATGAGTGAAATCATTTTCACTTAAACTTAAATAACATGTACAATATACACATATATGTAACAAATATAATACAATCAATTGACACATAATATCTATAACCTTTAGATGGACAGAAAAATTAAGTAATACAGAAATGGGGCACTAGACAAATGTGAAACATCCAAACGTATACATATTTTTTCATATTGAAAGCAAACTAGTTATGAACCAGTAAATCTCACAGTTTTTTAATGAGATTTAGATGAGATTTGAGATTTATGAGATTTAGGTGGAACGACATGTACCTTGCACAGTAACTTGCTTGAGCAAGGCTTCCAGGTGCTCCTTCTCTGAGGCTGTGGCTTGATGGAGCCAGGCCAACATGTCCCCAACATACCTGGTTGGATGATTGTATGTATAAGAATAAATAAAGATAAAAATAAAGACATAAAGATAAAATAAAGACACAATATTACCTTAACCCTATAAAGCCTTCTATATCATAATTGATACACAAATTTCTAAGGCCTCTAAATTTGCTATTCCAGACGGTTGTTAAAATTATACTCCCAACTCTTGTTTAATCAAATACAAAGCCATTTTTATCTGCATAACTTCCAATGAGAAATAGCACCGATACTGAACAAGGATGAAACTTTCTAGTGCACGTGTTGAGAGCCTGTGCATTAAATGGCATATACTTTGAGCATATAATAGTGATGGAATCATCATTAAAAAACAGCTTAGTCCAGAATTGCACAGTTGGGAACTGGATGGCTAGATGAATAATTACATGGAGTGTTTCTTCTAGATTTGTAGTTACATCTAATAGAGTTATAGATTTCCTGAGATTTGAGGCCATCACACAGTCAGCTATCATTACATCGGCTCAATATCCTTTAATACCGGACAGCGGGGGGAAGTGCTGTTCTGAGAACCACCACTTCCCACTTTTATCGACATTCTGCCAGGAGCCCCATGTTCTCTCCTCAGGTTCCAAATGGGATGGGGTAGGAGGGTGTTCGAAAGCTTGACGGGGTGCTGGCCTGGAGAGCATGCGACAATCCATACATCTCAACAGCCGACCTTTCGCTGAACCCGCACTAAGTAATTCTCTGAAAGAGGAAGCACTTCCCTGAAAGAATCAGGTTGGGTTTAATGTGCTTAGACGCTGAATTGGATTTGCAGCTTCAAGAGATGCGGCACATAGAGGAGCATGAGCCACAGAGGGCTCTGCTTGTGAGGATGTTAATCAGAGAGGCTTTTAGTTGCTAACAACGGCGTGACCCTCCAAATGACCCCCAATTATAGCTGGTTTAAAGAGATTATTTTTAGCGCGCAGAAGAGAAAATGTCATCCATTGTGTTTCAGCAAGCTTTTGAATGGAATGATTGGGTGGGAGGGTTGGGATGTGCACTTGTTGTAGACTCTACCTCATCGGATCATGAGAGTGCATCTCTATGGGTCTCGGGGTGCCTCCCGGTCCACCACGGGTCAGGGCGTCGATAAAGCCTCGGACCACGGCAGACCGCCGAGCCGTTCCAAACTCATCCAGTGTGTACCTGAGAGAATGAAAACAAAGAGTGAGAATTAAATATGAATTCAAGAAATCATGGTTTGTCTGACTAATGAGCTAACGGGACCATGCTAACCAATCTAAATACACGCTCTGCAAGCAAAAAGGATCTTTCTCCATTGACAGCCATTCAAAATATTTTTTCAAAGCCACATACAATATATATTGCTATTTTACTTATATAGTGTCAATGATTTACCAGCGCCTGATAAGTAAAATAAATAGGTAATAATGTAAAAATGTTCCTCTCTTCTTTTAAACTTTTTTTCTTTGCAATTTTTTTTTTTTTTTTTTTTTTGAGCAAATAAATGCAGTCTGGGTCAGCAAAACACATTTCTTAAAAACAAAACAAAACAAAAATATTAGTTTATTATTTATTATTAATATATCCAGGTTTTCCTGCTTCTTATTCATATTCCTAGTCCTAGCTTATTTTAATGCTAGTTTAGTCTTTGTTAAGTCATCTTAAGCCACCTGGTTGAAAACCAGTTCTGTGGGTTATGTGGTCTCATAAGCAAAGATTGCAAGATTTCAGATCTCGCACTTCTGAGGATCCTACTGCAGAACTCCTTGGATGAATTTAGAGATGCAACAACTCTGAACACAATAGCTCATGCATATAATCATAATCCTCCTAAAATTGTACAGGGCGTCCTTAAGACCAACTAGTCAGGAAGACTGGCTGATTTAAAAAAAATATGTAGTTTTGTACATCTTTAGTATAAACAAGATTAAACGCCTGGGCCATGAAACAAAACAGACACTGCAAGACCTTCGGAACAGCCACTGAAATCAGCAAGAGAAAAATACTTTAGGTTAGAGAGACCCAGGGTCACACATACAGACAAAAACAATGGAGGGCCCCGTTCGCAGTTAGGAAACGTGGCTGTGTTTTGATCTACGGGCTGAGAATGGCCCTGTGCAGACTAAACAGTAGTGACCGCAGCAGCCAGAGAAAAAGGGAGGAGAGGAGGGATGTTGTAGTTTGGCAAGGATTCCAGGAACTCTGGGGGCCCCGTCCTCTCACTCTTTCTCCTCCGGCCTTGGACTCCCTTAGATGAAAAGGGGGAGTGAGAGCACGGGACAAAAGAGAGGGGCACACAGACACAAAGAGAGAGTGGACAAGAAAACTTAAAAGTGTGTGAGAAAAAAAAACAGCACAATAAATCTCTTATTTACATCACATCTACACTTTGTTCGTTATAATGAGAGGATTTGCAAGCTTGCAGAACTCAGGACGTTTCGAGCAGTGAATGGATTCTGACTAACTGAAACACCTCTGATTGGCCATTGTGTTCCAGAAATCAACAGATATGTCTGTGATTGGCAACCATGTTCAATGCTGCAAAAACACGTTGTTAAGAGAAACCTTTTGATGCTCTCCAGAGCGCAAACACAAAATACACATTGGAGTCTGCCGCTTACTTTCATTTTGTTGTTTGTTTATTTTGTTATTAAAGTTACGTTTGCTCGTCATGCTTCCCGCTTCCTTCTTCCCATTTTTTAAGTCTCACGACCAACCCGAGGGACGCGACTTCTGGGTGGTTGCGTACTGGTCTAAGTCAAAAAAGCCTACTCATAAGTCTCTATGCATGATTTTCAGGTCTCTAGATATGGTTCATGTTGATTATATGTGTCTGATCTCCTCTTCTACATGCAATTTGAGTGATCATTCATTTTCTTAGCATAACAGTGTGGGACGTGCTGACATTTAGCACTTACAGTTAGAGGTTTGTTCAAAATGACTAGCCCTAAGAATGAGTAATAGTAAAAGTATGAATAATATCTACAACCTGTGTGGGCTTCACCAAAAATATGTTGTGTTATTTAAACTAAATTCAAAACATACTGAAGAGAGTTTATTTACACTGTAGGAATACATCATTTTTCTGGCTGTGTTCATTCATTCAAACCAAGTTGTTGTTTTTGCATTGTATTGATGTGGCTCATTTATAATGTTCTGTCAGTTGGAAGAAGGTACACTAAACACAGGAAACTACTTCAATAAGAATGAGAGAGACTGACACCTTGTGGTATATATGATGGAATTGCAGTCTTATTCCCTGCTGCTAAAAGGTAAACAGCACCTGAAACACCCATACATTTAGTTTTTAAATTTAATTAAATTAATATTTTTTAATACATTTTAATATTGTGAATTAATTAAAATTTAATTAATGTTGTAAAGTATAAAGTTTGGGGTCAGTAAGAATATAATACTTTTTTTCAGAAACAATTCCAGAACGTTACATTAAAGAATCCTAAAAAATAAATATATGAATATATAATAATATATGTTTCCACAAGAATATTAAGTAGCACAACTGTTTTCAGCATTGATAATAATAAGAAATGTTTCTTAAGTACTAAATCAGCATATTAGAATGATTTCTGAAGGATTGTGTGACACTGAAGACTAGAGCAACAGCTGCAGAAAATTCAGCTTTGCCAACAAAGGATTACATAGGATTACATTCTAAATATATTAAAATAAAAAAAGTTATTTAAAATTGTAATAATATTTCACAATTTTTAATCAAATAATGCAACCTTGGTGAACATAAGACTTCTTTCAAAAACATTGTTAAAATGTTGTAATTAACCTCTTAGACCTTTTACTCTTTAATGACGATTTTAAAATGTTAATGACATTTGGTTGGCTTCCCTATACTTTTAAACTACTTATATATTTGTATAAATCACAAACAATTTAAGTAGACAACCTTGTACTATCAACTGTTTTCCCAATTTCCCATAATATTTTACTTCAAATCAATATTTGTAAAGTCGTTATTCACCTCAGAGTTGGCTGGTTTGATTCATGGCTTTGAACTCTTTATTGAACAACTTTTGAAATGCCTGCTAAGAAAATAAATAACTGCTGAAAAAAGAGGTGCACTGTTATGCACTATGGGCACTAGAAGAGTGTGTTCTGTAACAAGTGTGTGTGTAAGGGACAGAACTCACTTATAAAGAACAGGCCGATCCTGGAGAGACTCCATAGCTTGACTCAACACGGGAGGAATATCACATGTTTCCTGAGTCAACCCTCTGCACTCATCTACAGTCACCAAAGACAGACACATAAACATCAATAAGGCCTCCTATAATACTAAAACACAAATAACTTAATTTATTTTATGTAACTAATTTGTAAATAATACTTTTATGTAACTAAAATATAGTACTAAAGTACTAAAATCATCATGTAAACCAGGAGTGCCATAAGTCGTTCTGTAAGCTGAGTCAGTTTTCTGTTTCACATTCTCTGGCAGCAGCAACTGTGTTTATATTCCAGAAACTTCTCGCCTCCGCTGTGTGTGTGTGTGTGTAAGGTCCAGAGCACACACTCACTCTGAGCCCAGCGATAGAGCTGCTCGTATGCGGTCTCCTGTAACACAGCCATCTGCTCCATGATCTCCAGCCTGCAGTAAAGCACAGACATCACTGAACATCAACACATAAAAAGTCTGCAAGAACCAAGATTGTTAATTTTTATATTTTTTTGTATTTTTTTAAATAAAGTATATTTCTAATCTATTCTGCTCTATTTAATTCTATTCTACTGTATTCTATTCTCTCTCTCACCCTGCTGTTTGCTGGTTAGTCCTCAATAGGACCTTCACATCTTCATGGATGTTCTTCACACGGTTCAGCGCTCTGAAGAAGTCCTGCACAGTACACACACAGTTCACGCAACTATTAGAGATGATTCTATTTAAATTTATTTTTCAATTACCCAGCAGGAGATGATTTCATCTGAAAGTTTTATCGGAGTCACGTATCACTTAAAAAAAAATTGGAATATCGAGCGGATCATTTTTTTAAATGGGTAGTTAAAAAAATCAACTGAATTATATTTGATACTTTTTATACTTTATATACTTTTTTATTACATTTATAATTTGCCAATCAATCTCATGGTTCATTCATGTGCTTTGGTTCTCAAATGACATTTTATGGGCAATGACAAGCAGTTTTTTTGTAGGATAACATGAGGTTACCTCAGTGATGGGACCATCTCGTGCGGAGCGTAATGTTGCCATCTCAGTGGTGGACAACTGGAACTTTGACAGGAATGCCTGGGCCACCTGAGCTCGAACCTCCAACTGATGACTAAAGAGAGAAAGCAATGCATTCATATAACAATATAAATTCATTTAACAGTTTAATGATTCCAGTAGTCATATCTAATATGTACATTATATATATATATATATACATATACACACATACACACACATAAGAGAGAACATTTTATCCAAAGCAACTTCCCTGAGCCAACCACTAGATGACACCCTCGCTCTTGTCAAAAACACAACCCATATGCACACTTCAAACTATTGAAACAAACACATTACTAGTCTTTCACCCAACATAATGCTTTTAAAGAAAAAAGAACCATAAAAGGAAGTGTAGAAAACTAAAAAAGGGAAAGGGGGCTTGAGACAACATTATTTGAACAAGAACATCTATAAAGAATGACATTAGAAAAATACCAGTCATTACAATCGCTGTCCTCAGAGAGTCTTCACTTTCATCTCACCAAAAAGCCTTACCAGCATTTAGACCATGTATTTATTTTGTGGAGCCGCTTGTAATTAGTTGTTGTTAATAGGTGTAATGATATAAAACATCACTATGATTAACAGAAACAGAACATTTTACAATAAAGTCCTCCATGCCAAAATATTACTTTTGACCTAGTGAGAAAGACATATTCTTATGACAATTTGCTGGGTAAAATAAAATTAAGAGCTTCAGGCCCTATTTTCTACCTTGTCTGTGGAAAGCTACAGAGCCCCTAAAGGGACATGGTGATGAAAAAATGAGGTGGGAGGAAAAAATATTATTTCAATGCGAGTGAACATAAAATCTCTCTGGGGAAAGTTTTATGAGCAAATGACAAGTTTTCCAGGGGGAACAATACTTTAGTGAGCGAATGCAAAATTTTGTGAGTGAATGGCGAACTTCGTGGGGAGTGCAATACTTTTTGCAAGCAAATGCAAAACTTTTGCCAAAGAAATCAAATGTTTTTTGAGTGAATGGCGAACTTCGTGGGGAGTGCAATATTTTTGCAAGCAAATGCAAAACTTTTGCCAAAGAAATCAAATGTTTTTTGAGTGAATGGCGGATTTCGTGGGGAGTGCCATAGTTTTGCAAGCAAATGCAAAACTTTTGCCAAAGAAATCAAATGTTTTGTGAGTGAATGCATAAGTTTTATGAGCAAATATAAAGTTTTCTAGGGGGAACACAGTACTTTTGTGAGAAAATGCAAAAGTTTTAATTGAGAATGCAAACATTTTGCAAGTAAATGCAAATGTTTTGTTAGTGATGACAACAGTATAAACTGTCTATCATTAGAGATTTTGCCACATTGTTTATATCATGGTATGGAAGTGTCAATATATTAGATCCATGCATAAGGTCTTAAAATGACAGCAGTATAATCAACCTGCCACTGTCTGCATCATTAATGTTAATCAAACAACAAAACAAAAACAGAAAATAACTCACTGCTCTAGACTGAGCAACTTTTGTAGCTTTAATAAGAATAAATTATTTCATTCATATAGTGAAGTGGTGAGGCTACATAAGGGCCAGCCACTCAGATTGACGGCTGGCCCGCCCAATCAAATGAGGAAAGAAGAAAAATCCTGCATACATTAAAATAATTGCTCAAATACATGAACATACACTTGTATGTGAACAAGTAAAAGAAAAAAATAAGTAAGCAGTAATAAGATCCTGGTGGATGAGCGCTTATCTTCCAGTTTTGCGCTTCTATTCTGTTGCGAACGCAAGAGCTGTCAATATAAGCGATCAATCCAATCTGAGCGTGCTCCCGCTGTAAAACAGTCCCCGATTGGTCTTTAGTCATCGTCTCATCCATCATACCTGAGATCCAGTTTCTATTGGTTGAACTTCCCAACGATTACAAATGACATGGAAAACACCGCATCATCATCATCGCAACGCGTCGAACACGATCGGATCTTAGATGTTCAAAGCAGCATGTAATGTCACTCTAAAGCAGGCACATGCAGAGGGGGCTGCGATGGGTGCTTGAGCACCTGCCCCTTTTCCCCTTGATGCCCAAAGTGCCCTTTTGTCAAGGCCATTTCTTTTTTTGTAATTAAACACACTTTTGTGAAGGCCTGCCCAATCTAAATATTAGTACAATGAATTAATAACAATTTAGCCATAAATAAAATGATCCACATGATGACCTTTCACCTGACGATCTCATCCGGGACGATCCCTCATGTTAGTAATTTAAGGCACTATCAGGATGCCTTCAATAACGTCCGCGGTTGCCGGTAAGTGGAGCTCTCAGCAGAGCGGTGTGCTTGTATACTTATATTATTAAATTATTATTATTTTACAAGAACGATGTGAAGACAGCGTGCACAGCTGTTGTTTATATTTCTGTGTGTAGCCTGTGGAAGTAACGTTAGCTGCAGCAAGGGGCTATAATATTTTTGTTCAATATTTTCCTAATGACGATTTTATGATTGGTTTATAAAGGCTACGACGAACACCTTTTTCCCATTTCCCATTTTGGAGCCCTCATTATATACATAATTAGCAAAAACTATGTAGTCTGAGGGCAACTTTCAATCATTCTTTCTGTAAGACGTTCCCTCAGTTAATACATAATGTTACCTTAACTGTAATGTGTCTGTTAATGTAAGCATGCAGGGGATGTCTTTAGTCGTGTGTGCTTGCTTTGGGATCATATTGCATGTTTCCGGTGTCAGTAAAGTATTTGAGATTTGCTTTAGGCCAAGGAAAAGATATCTGACCTGGAAAATTTGAACAATGAGAACATACACCAATCAGGCATAACATTATGACCACCTTTAATATTCTGTTGGTCCCCCTTTTGCTGCCAAAACAGCCCTGACCCATCGAGGCATGGACTCCACTAGACCCCTGAAGGTGTGCTGTGGTATCTGCCACCAAGATGTTAGCAGCAGATCCTTTAAGTCCTGTAAGTTGCGAGGTGGGGCCTCCATGGTTTGAACTTGTACGTACAATTCAGTACATCCCAAAGATGCTCGATTGGATTGAGATCAGGGGAATTTGGAGGCCAAGTCAACACCTAAAACTCGTTGTTGTGCTCCTCAAACCATTCCTGAACAATTTTTGCTTTGGTGCAGGGCGCATTATCCTGCTGAAAGAGGCCACAGCCACCAGGAAATACTGTTTCCATGAAAGGGTGTACATGGTCTGCAACAATGCTTAGGTAGGTGGTACGTGTCAAAGTAACATCCACATGGACATGGACATGAACATTGCCCAAAGCATCACACTGCCCCCGTCGGCTTGCCTTCTTCCCATAGTGCATCCTGGTGCCATGTGTTCCCCAGGTAAGC